CTTCTCTGGAACACAGTCCAACCCCCGCCGTCAGTTGTCATATCGCAATATACTTGAAAAGGGCTTCCATCATCAGGTTTTATTGTATACACACCGTTGCGTCTTTCTCCATGTTTATAGAGTTCGTAACAGTCTTTAACACACTCAGCTGTTGACTTAATATCTATATCAGATACCGCAGCAATTGTTGCAGAACACACATAAACACCCAGATCAGTATTAGGATTAAAGTTGTTTATGATCAAAGAACCATCCCTTATTTCGTATCTACCATTTGGAAGGTTGCCATTCTCTTTCGACCAGCTGATAACTGGTTTAGGATCGCCTTTGGCAGCACAGCTAAGCAGTACCCGTGAGCCAGATTTTGGACAATATGATGCTGCAGGCTTTGTCACAAATACTGGCAATTGGACAACAACAAGAAATAGGCTCGAGACAGCAGAACCTAGAAGATTTTCAGCTCGACATAGGTATACTCCTGAATCATCCTTCTCTGTCTTAAACAAAGTGAGCTGTCCATCTACAATACTGGCGCGTTGTCTTTGCAATGAACCAACTGACTTGTACCACGTGACCTTTGGTTTTGGATTTCCTGTTACTTGACAAACAGGCAGAGTAACGTTATCGCCAATTTTTACGTAGAWTGGTCCTTTATTCAACGTTATTCGCGGATTTGTGTAGACGTTTAAGCTTGAAGCAGCTTCTGCCTTTCCAAGGATGTTTGATGCTTTACAATAAAAGGTGCCAGAGTCATCTGAAGTCACATTCTTAATCTCAAGTCTACCGCTTTTGTCATTGAAAGACCTCTCTAAAGGTAAAGAACCGTTCACTTTACGCCACGAAATAACAGGTTTTGGATATCCACTGGCGGCACAATGTAATATAGCGGTATGACTTTCATTGACAATTAATACAGGAGGAGATACCATCACTGTCGGAGTAGCCAGAGATGGTCCAGGGTCACCTTTAGGTCCAGTCATTCCACGTGGACCAGGAGCTCCATTTAGTCCAGGTACACCTTTAAAACCCCGAGACCCTCGTTTTCCTCTTTTGCCTTGTTTTCCTGGTGGACC